CACATCCAGAACAGGGAGTTCTCTGACTTCAACCTTCAGCAAAGGCTGCATCAGTTGAAGCTGGACATAAGTTGAGTGTGTTGGCAAACTGGGAACCTAGGAGAGGCCAAAGGGCAAGAGGCAGCTGAGTTGTATAGGGAGAGGTTGTGATGAAACATGGTCGGAAATTTTACAGTTTTGACAGATAGGCCCTTGGTGCAGAAGGCTTGATGTTCTGCTCAGTTGGGTGGCTTGCGTCAGCGCAGGGTGTGTGGGGGCAAAGTAAATAATTTAAACTTGCTTCATTGTTAACTTGCGTTGCCCAGAAACCTCGTGTGATTAAAGAATTGGATGTGACTGTGCTGTCATGTGAAGGGGGAAACAAACTGCCTGCTAGAATAGGGAGGAGCACACACTTAGGTTTTGCAGCTCACTTTATTGCCTTGCCATCAGAATAAGTCATTGCTGGAAAGGAGGAGGAACAAATTGATTGGGCTCTACCCAATTTAACTCAGGCTGTTTTASAGCAACTTGTTGCCTGTGGCATCCCCAGCTGCAGCTCACAGCTCTGCTGCAGTTTGGTTCAGCATTGCTGTTGGTGTCTGTCTCCCATTGCTGCCTTTTAGCTTCTTCAATAGAAGTTTTGCTTCTCTTGGCCAAAGCTTTGAAACTCTTCAATATCCCCCAAAATGCAGCAGGGCTTATCTTACCCCTTGTAAAGATGACTCCATGCATAAGGCTGCCTATCTACCTAGGTTTAGCCTAATTTGACTATATAAAATTGTGACGCGTGGATAAAATTCAACTTTTTTTTTCTGCCTTTAGAAAAAAATGAGTAATTGAAAAGTATTTAAAAAAAAAAAAGGTTTGATATTTGATACCAGACTTAAATGTCACTAAATCGGTGTATTTCTGTGAGATTTTGAAAACAAAACAAAACAACCCCAAAAAAGTCATTTGAAACTGGGAGCTGGTTGTACACCCAGAGTCTCAGCAAGCAATAGTACCACTCCTGCTTTAATTAAAAGAGAGTCTATGATAGCTGGCAACCKACCAGGTGACGTGATAAATACAGGAAATCTAGTTTGACACTTCAAAGATGCCTACTCAAATAGCTTTAAAAGCAAACTTAAAGAGAAGAGCCAACCTCTGTGCTTTATTTGAACATTCTTTTTATAGGACTTTTCTGTTAGAACAGTGGTTTGGTTTTTTTTTTCCACCAAAATACTTGAAGATGAGTCTCTATTGCCAGGACTAGTTTCCTTTTAAAATTTAACCATTTGTTCTAGGCATTTATATCATTAGTCAACCTTATATATTTWAAAAAAAAATGTAGTCACGATACTTCAAATAAGGAAAAGAACATTCACATTTTCAAAAGCAGCTCCCTGTTTGCATTAAGAAAGAGATGAATCTGCTTGGATCAAACTTGCAAAAACAAACACAATGTACTTTGGATTAAAATCTAAGGGCTGCTAAAGTTGCCTCAGAATTAAAAAGTTCTGAGTAATTGGAAATTATTACTTCATGACGTCTGTTAGATTTTTCTAAACTGCCACAGAACATATCTGGGGCATGCTCTTCCTATGACTTGGCTGCAGTAATTTGTAATGGTCGTGTTGTGAGCCCTCCAGAAATCCTGTTTACTTGCTTTTAAGACCAACAGTGATTGCACTGTGTGGCTTTGACTTGTGTTATTGGACAAATATAGCCTGTGTTACGAGGGATGGATACAGTGTGGCTGTGCTGACATTGAATTATTTTGCAGTTCTTGATTTGTTGAAGATAAAACTTGCTTCTGCTTTACTGGGAACTGTACATATTTGTCCAAGTATGCTGGAGAAATGGGCCTATCGTATGCAAAACTTTTTTTTAAGCAGTTTTTTGAAATAAAACTGGAATATTGTTAATATAAATAAATCAACATGATTTAATTCTAAAGCTTCTTCTGGAGTAAGTGGTAAATTCTCCCTTTCAGGGAATATCCCAGATTTGTTTCTAGCACAGCTTGGGGCAGAAGTGCATGGATCGCTTCCAGTGTAGTTTTGGGAATGTGAGGTATGTTACGGAATGCAAGTTGGTTTCAGTGTTTCTTTAGATGTTGGGCTACAGCTGTAAACCTCATTCTGAAGTTCAGTACCATTTCTTTATTTTGGATTACATGCATTTCTTTTTTTTTTTTGCCTTGCATAGACTGAATTTTTAGTCAACTTTTGTAATAATGTGTGCTTTGCTACTGGATTGCATGAAGTAAGATGCCTGTAGTTGGTGTTTGAGGTCCAATGATAAATGACTCTCTTCTGCATAGGCATGAGTGTAATTCATTAACTTTATTTTCCCTGCTCTTGCCCAATGGCTTCCTCTGTTTATTAACTGGGTGCTTAATTGTTTGCCACAAATATTGCAGACTGAGTTTGGGGCTGACATTAAGGCCAAATAAGTGTTTTGTAAATGTTGTATCTGAGCCTTTGAAGGCAGCTAATTACTGTTTCTGGGAGCGAGATAACTTCCTGAGGGACAGAAATAATGTGCTTATTTCAGTTTTGCTCCAGTAATGATATTGAACAGTGCGTTACTGTGGTGTTTTTTTTTTTTTTTTTCCTATATTTAAAATGTCTTATATTAGCTTATTAAAAGACAGCAGGCTTTCCAAAGGATACTATTTCTGGAGTTTTCTACCCCATCTGTCTTTGAATTTGGGCTACTACAGAATCACAGAATATTCAAGATTGGAAGGGACCTCGAGAGATCATCTAGTCCAACCTTCCYGCTCAAGCAGGCACACCTACAGCATGTGGYACAGGGTGGCATCCAGGCGGGATTTGAAGACCTCTGGAGAAGGAGACTCCACAGCCTCCCTGGGCAGCCTGTTCCACTGCTCTGTCACCCTMACAGTAAAGAAGTTGCTCCTCACCTGGAGACGGAACTTCTTATGCTCCAGCTTGTGGCCATTACCCCTCGTCCTGTCGCTGGCCACCAGTGAGAACAGCCTGTCCCCTTCCTCCCTGCATTTTCCCTTCCTGAACTTATACATGTTGATCATACACTGGACATAACGTTGGAAATTCTCTGAACACTTTTACTGTGTCATAGTATTTGATATATACGGAATTATACTGTTAATTATTTGCTAAGTCTCAAACATTATATCGTAATGTTGATGATTTAAAAAGATTTGATTGTTTTATCTGCAAATTGTAATTAGCAAAACAAGGCAAGTGGCAGGTACCTCTTTCATTTTTTGTTATAAAAAAGTAAGACTGTCACCCAACAAGCTCTTGGGTTTCCCTGTTTTCAGTTGCATGCAGTGCTTCTGCTCCTTGCCTATTCAGCTACTGTTCCCAAATATTTTCTTTTGTCTCCTGTCTAAAATTTGTATCTTCTTTCCCATGCAGAAGCAGTGGGACTCTGTAATGGTGGCTGCCTGTTCACATTCACCAAGAAAAGGAGGGGTTGTGCTGTACAACACAGTTTGCTCGGCTAGCTATTGCATGCTATGATTAAACAGTAAACATTTTTTATACCTCTTTGTTTGAAAACACCTACAATGGGAGGCAATTTGGCCCATTGAGAGTGGGTGTACTGGCCCAGAATTGGCACGCTGGGCAGCAGGAGATGGTGAACTCTGATTCCGACCCAACTGGGTCCATGTTTCAGCATCGCTGTGATGCTGTGTGCGTTCTTTCTCCTCCCTTAATGTTAGCCCTCTCTTCCAGCTCAGAGATCCACCTCAGATCAAGCTGCACTCCTCTCTTCTGGGGAAGCACTGATTTCTGGTGGCACTGCCTTTTGAGGCTCATCAAAGAAATGTTGCATCTGTTAGAAGCTACGGATCGCGGGGATAAGCAAGTTTTTTTTTATCTTAGAGTACAAGAATGTTGACATATCAGTTTGTGTTGGCCTGGAGGGGAAAAATAGGCCTGTGCTCAACTCAGAGAGGGTATGTGCACGTTAAACCGCACTCTGAGGTGGTGTGTTGTGCCCTTACCCTATAAGATATACACCTGAGACAGCACAGAGGGTGCAGTGAGAGATACAGTGTCACTCCCTGCTTTGCGTGGGTAAATCTAATTAAAACATGATCAGGCATCAAATCCCTCTAGCTTTGGCTGTATTAGCTTTGTRGTCATTGCCTGCGAAGGGTGCTGTGAAGCACCACCTTACGTCTCAAGTGCAGTGCTGGATCTGAATTAGTCTAGCTTGAGGTTATTTGTGATGAAAACTAAACATAGCATGAACCCATGCCGACTAATTTTAACCTTCTGCTGCTCTATAAGGAGCAGCAAATCTTCATGTCACAACTATAAATAGATTTATTCTGGAATGCCCACCACTTTTCACAAGGTAGGTTCCCACCTTGGCTAAAGATGAATCTTGAAGCATGAGTTGAATTAATTCCATAGAACTCTTAACACAGTTTTATTTATTCTAGCAGATATCCCTAGACCTCTTTTTAAGTGTGCTAGGAATTATTCCTTCAGGAATACAAGGCAACTGCCATTCTCAACCATTCATTTTTCTTAGATAAGTTACAAAATTTTGCAAAACAGTTAAAGCAAGTGAAAACAAACCTTTTTGAATTGTGCGTGGTCTGGATAACTTACAGGATGATATGTTCTAGAGGAAATGAAGAACTGCTACCCAGTATGAACTTGTATATCTGGCTTCTTGTTGGTATCTGAGACTTTTTACATTTTATCTATAGTAATCCCATACAATCTAAGATAAAGGATAGAAGAATTCAGTCCTTACTAAATAATCAAATATGATTTACATTTTTATTCAAGTTAATACATGCATTATGCTTTTTTAGTGCTGGTGTATCTTTTCCACTTCCTTCAAAAATTCAATTAAAGGATGCTATTGGGTCACCTCATGTTGTGATAATTATCTTGTGTTTCTAAATGCAAAGTAAAAATCCTGAGCACATAAAAAGAAAGGCTATAAGAAATGGTAATTAATGGACTACTAGAAATGTAAGATCAATGTTCTAATGATGGCTTCCACTCCATTTGTTTCAGGTTTATGACTCTGGCTGTTGTGACAGCGTTCTTCTGGAGCTGCGGGAATACTTGCCAAAATACTTCGGTGTCTGGTCACCACCTGCTGCACCAAATGGTACTGTTCTAATTTTATCCATTAGCCCCAGTCTGCTGAAAAATCTTTTGGAGAATGATGCGAAGGAGCAGGCCCCAACAGGAGAATGATTTTGGCATTGAACTCTCTGTTCTGTTTGGTTTTTGCTTTCTAAGCCTGTGTAACGTGCTTCTGTTCTCCTTAAAACACATTCCGGGCCTAGGGGGAGACCTCCAAGCTGGGATCTGCTGATGGGGCTCCCATGGTTGAATCACATCTCCTTTTTGGGTTGCACAAAGCAGCTATCTTGGCAGGTGCTTTACCTAAGAGTACTGCTTGTCCTACATTTGTGCTGAGTGACGTGGAGCTCTGCTATCCTACCTTAGTGTTTGTATAGCATGTTAGCAGTTGGGAAGAAAAGATATTTTTGGTGAACGTCTGGAAGCAGAATATAGGTATTTTTGTATACTCAAAATGGGAACTAATTTGTGGCCTCTGCTCTTCCCTAGAACTAAAGGATGTTATGAAGCCCGTTTAAATATGCGGCCACCTAAATGAGAAGCTGTGATCTTGCACTATAGTTCTCTTTTCCCCTCCTTATGCTGTCTTTGGATAGATAGACTTATCTTCCAAAAGCAGCAGAAACTACACTTCAAACTTAGTGAAAAGAAATGCAGCGATGATTGTGGTGGTGGTACCTAGCACTTTCTTCGCTCGAATTCGACTCGACATATTCRTATTTAGCATTAACACACATACCTCTACCACAGCTATCTTATTCCTTCTCTTGTAATTTTATGTGTGTCGTGRAGCTGGCTTAGACTTTTGCCATCTTGATGTTAGAAGCCTGTAGTTTCCTTGGACAGTCGCTGCTCTATGGGTTGTGGTGACAAGGTTCTGGACAACCTTTGGGCAATAAAGTTAGTAATTCCTTGCTAAATGAACTTAAGAAAATATATGTAAGAATTATCTTTAAGAATATAAGAAGAGATAAGTTGCCAGATCTCTTCTGCTTGCTGCATGTTCCGAGCTGTATGTATATAGATATGAATACATATTTTATATACATGTAAAATATTTTTAACAATGTTTGTGTGAAGGAAAATTGGCTTCTAAATCTTGCCAGGGCAGAGAAGGGAYGGCCACAGGCATTTCTTTTTAGATAAATTTCATTTAGTAGATGGTGAGGGCAGGGAGAGCTCTTTGGCATCAGTCTTACAKGTGTGATTTGAGTTGTTATTTTGGSAAGAGGGTTGGGAGTTTGAATACCACRGAGAGAATCTTAAGCTTGCGGTAGAAGAAACAGATTAAATGAGTTTTGGACCACACTGAAGATAACCTGTGCAGTTCTCCAAGTGTCTGTATGACAGGTAAGCAATAACTGATCAGCAAGGTGGAGACCACAGGTAACCTTTTTCTGTAGAGAAAGGTTAAACGACACAGACAAGTGTGAGGCTCCTATGCTAACACTCTAGATAGGCAGTGAAATTGCTTGTTAAATGGCATGAAATGTAGTAAGTGCTAATTAGAACATATGAATGACCACCTTAACCCTGCACAAGAGTCATTTGGGATAATGTGCTCTCTAGCAGGTACCAGGCACAGGAAGATGCTGTTGCAGGCTTGCCTTCTGCTGACCTTTTCCTCTGCTAGGCAGGAAAGAAACTAATATTCACAAATAGTGTGTTACTAAAAATGCGTGAAAGTCTGTTTCCTGTTCCACTAAAGCCACTTAACTAATAAAAGCATCTGTGTGGGCCTTCTGGGTCCTGTTCTGGTTTCAGTGGCATCATAGGCATTTGGGGTGTATTAGTAAATATATGGAAGAGTTGTAATAAAGATGTGGAASTGCCAAGTTGAGACAAATCTGCTGAGAGCTCCAGCATTGTTTTTGCTGCCTATTTGTTGCCGCTKCTCTCCTCGACCCTCCCAAGTAACCTTATTGCTGCTGGTTGCATTCTGATTTTGTTGCCAAAAATGAGAACAGAGTAGATAAATATAACTTGTAACCAAATCTTTGTTTTCTCCTCTTGTTGCTGAGAGTAACTAGGGCATTCTCTGCTCACTTGCTTTTTGTGAGGTGCCTTGTAAGTTAGTTATGAAGTCGGATGCCTTGAGATATTTTCTCCATTCTGGCTCCAGTTAGGACTGAATGCTTCAGCGTGTGTGTGCTGAAGTCCTCAGTGCTCCATGCCATACATACTTGCTCAGTTTGGGTCTTTTGCTTGGGTCCTTGTCCCCTTTGGGACTGTAATAACGAATATGTTAAGCCCCATCTTCCTTTCTGCTGAAAAACAGAAAGGGGAGGAGGTGAAGCCTCTGAGGAATGACTTGATTAAATTCTAGGAATACATTTTGAGGAATAAATGCTGAAGTTAAGATGCAAACGTCTTCATTCTTTTCTCTGCATGGAATTTTAGTTTAACCTGTGTTTGGGTAGCTTGAAAGTTACTTTAYTGATGTGCAGCATTCCTCCCTGACACATGCAGTATATCAAATTGATATTGGGGATTGTATTGAGCAGATGTAGTATTGTGCAGACYTAACAATCTGAATTGAGTTTGCAGTCAGCTAAAGATGAAGACTTAAAAATTTTAAGTGAGAGAGATGAATCATTTCTAAATAATTCACAAACKTAGCCATGTAATTGGTATTTTTCCAGAGTTAGTGTTAACTCCAAAACGTATGTGTGTTTTGTTAGGTTTTTTTGTTAGTTTTTTTTTTGTATTTTTTAACAATTATACTTCAGTAAGACAGTAGGGGAGATATTCCAGCTTCACAGTCATGAGATGGGTGAGGAATTAAAGTGACAGGTATCTAAACCTTTAGCTATTTTGGAGCTGCACATTTATGGTGCTTAGGAGGGTTTTGGTCAAGTAGAGCAGAGGGTGCCCACAAGTGCTCCACGAAGTTTGTGATGGACTTCAAAAATGCAGAAACAGATTTATGAAGAGTGTGGAGAAACTACTGTGTTAATGGGGTGCGTGGACCTGCCCAGATTCCCAGTGCTTGGCAGTGCAGCAAGTTTTTTCCAACCAGACTTGTTTGAGATTTAGGTGTTTTTTTYCCTGTGCTCTAGCAATCAAAGCTGTAAATCTTGTTGGGGAAGTCTTTTGTTTGCATGGGGGAAAGCATAAAACCCTTTGATGCGAAGCTGGTCTTAGATGATCTCTTAGAAAGCTTCCTTCAAAAACACTTGGAGTTTTGAGCACCTGTGATTGTTTGGCTGGTTGCTTTGGGTTTCTTCTCTCTCCCTGGTGCCCCTGCACAACACTTGAAAATGGATTAAAAAGCATTCTGAGATTCAAGAATTTTGTTTTTCCTTTTAAATGTGTTGCATGGGGAAGAGAGGGAAATAGAGGGGGGAAAAAAAGTGAGTGGTATTTCCGTTACTATATGGTGAGGCCATGAAATTTGTGGGTATAATTCTGGTCCTCGGTGCATGTAAAGAAAACACCATCTCCATTACAAAATCAGCCGTGTGCTGACATGCTTATTAATGTTGTGCTTATTAAGGTTATTGGAAGTCTGCTAATGACTGAAGAGCCATAGAACAGCAGAGTTCAATGTCAAGAGAATCTGTGGGTGTCGATGACTGTGGTTAAGCTTGTGTTGGCAGACAAATTTGGATGTCTTTTAAAGAACTTGCCTGATGCTAAGCTTTAAACCCTTCTACCTCTCCCCAAGAACGGAGAATTCAGGAATCCCTATTTGCTTTGATCCTTTCTTAACTGCAGCTTTGTCTTTTTAACAGAAACATATCTAAAACTGGAAGATGTGACCCGTAAGTTTAAGAAGCCGTGTATAATGGATGTAAAAATAGGTCAGAAAAGTTACGACCCGTATGCATCAGCCGAGAAGATCCAGCAACAGGTCAGCAAGTACCCCCTAATGGAAGAGATCGGCTTTCTGGTGCTTGGCATGAGGGTAAGAACTTGCTTTCCTTTGAGATTCGGTTTATACTTGGTTCAGCAGCAGGTTTAGTGGCTTAGTGCTTCAGCAAATGATAATAATTTGAGGGGTTTATGCCAGTGAGGTGTCACCTGCCTATGTTGTTAGTACTGGTATCCAGGGTCTCTTGAAATAGGTTTCAAACCACAGCTAATGTTCAGAACAAGAGCGCCACTTCACTACATGCAACCTGAGTTCAGGATAGAATATGACAGATGTTGGAGCTGCTTAAAACTGAGGTAGCTGCAATTGCTGCTTCTCTCTTAGCAGATATTTTAAAGATTATCCATCTGGGGGGCTTTTAGGCTTATATTGGAGATTTAAATACAGCGTCGATTCTCATAATGACTTAACAAGCTATATCCTCTCCTAATTTGTAGTTTTCATATTTTACTTCTAATGAACTGAGGTAAGGCATTTGAATATATTTAGGGAAGAGCAAGTTAACTTTCAGCAGATGATGCATGTAGTTATAAATAGCTGCTTGCATTCTGGGTTTAAAAATGTTTTCCACTGGAAGAAAACATCTGGTACTTTTATTCTTGAGGAACAACTGTCAGTTGGAGACTAGCTTGAGATGAATCAGGACTTTTAGATGTCTATGCTAGCTATTATGTTTATTTTAGATACAGAGCAAAATGAAGATTCAGTTTACATGCATAGAAATTACTGTAAAAGTTCAATGTAAATAAGTTTTGCAGAATTTCTTCAGGTCAGCAGCAGCTTACAGATTTCTTTTTCCCACCCGTAATAGAGATCCCTCATGCTGAAGGGCATTCAGACTAAAGTTTTATAACCTGTGGGACACTGAGGAAAGTCCATAGTCCAGTGATAGTCTCCCACAGTGAAATCTCTAACATGTATACTCCTGTGCTGTGGTCAAGCTCCCTGTTTTGTTTTGTTTTTTTTTTTTTTTTTGAGGAAGATTCTACTTTTTCACTGTTGAATGGATGTGCTTAAGATGTTTCTGTGTTTTTTTTCTTGTCAAAGCTGGCATAGGAATAATTTTCTTGCTCTGTAAGGGGAGATTTTTGGATGTCCTTGTCACACAGACAAAGCCAAAGCTTCCCAAGCCCTGCACCAACAAGTGTAAACAACAGCAGCCATTTTCAAGCTTACAGTTTACTTAGATAGCGGGGACACACAGGTTGCCCCATTGTTTGAAATAATTCACGTATCCTGTGTGGTTTTGTGCTTAATTGTCTAAGCTCTCACCCTTGCCTCTGTCTCGAGATAAGCTTTTACAGCTATAAATTATAGCCATGGTGAGTGGTAGTTATGTAAGACTGTATAAGAGAGAAAGTGGGAGTAGAATCAAAAGCCAGTCAAACAGTTCAGATCCAGAAGGAAGGCTGGAGATTATAGCTTTGGATTTGGCTTACGTTGTTACATAATTTTTCTTATCTCACGCGTAAAACAATGCACTCTGCAGCCTTTGTGTTTGGTGACAGTGCAGAAGCAGCGCKTCCTCTTGGTGTCTTTTTGCTTGTGACTGCTGCTTCTACAACTGCCATTTAYTCGCGTCTTTATCTTGTTACAGAAATTCACTCCATTCCCTAATTAAAACCTTCTTTATAATGATCGCTCTTCCCAGCACTGCTGTTTCCCACTCTGTGTTTAGCTGTGTGAGATCTGTGCATCTGGCACCAAACTGCATCAGAAGTTATTTTCCAGAAAGATTTCCATGCGTTCCTTCTCCCTTCTTGCAGCACATCAAGTATAGACTGGCAAGGCATGTGCAATGCTCAGTGGCCTCGCCTATAATCTTTCTTTATTCTTGAAAAATTCTGGTTATAATGTAAAATATTTTCCTATCTTGATATTTACAGCCTGAAACATCAAATGTGCTGGATAAGGAGTGCTAATGCTTGCTAAACAAGATAGTGTAAGACAATTCAGAAAGGGCATTTTGGTTTTAGTTTTAATACACTTCTGTGTATGTGGGGGGTGTTTCTTAACTTCCCACTTCAGGAGGAAGGGAGGAGGGCCAAGAGGAGGAGGGAGTAGCATGCATGTGTTCATGTTTCTTATTTTATCTTTTTGTGTTTGCACAAACCACACAAGTTATCATGCAGAAGAGCTACAAACAAAAAAATCTATTTATTTAGTTTCCTCTCTGCCAAAGCTGTTGATATAGTTGATAAAACATTTGTAAATAATTTGGTAAATAAGCCATAATTTCTTTATGCACAACTACATAAAGTTTGTCCCAAGAAGCAAGTACTCTATAAATCAGCAGCACTGCCAAACATACGCAGTTCTGGTATTTGGCATGTGCTAGAGCACGTTCGTTGTATTTCAGGGAATAAACATGGGTGTGAATAAACACATTTGGAAAGTACCATCATTTGGGTAGTGCTGATAAAGCTCAGTTTCATAGTTAGCTTTGAGGTTCCTTTCCTTAACCTGTGGGGATTTAGATTCACTAAACAAGAAATTAAACGTAGGTCAAAACGGCCAGTTATGGTGGAAGTCAGAAAAGAATGCTAGTTGCAGTAGCAGAAATTGGAGTATGTAAGAAATATCTTAGCAGTGTGTGCAGTATTAAAAATAGAATATTTTTTATGCTGTCAAAGATGAGCAGAATGTGTGGGTTGGACAGCAAGTTCTAAATAGTCACAGTTAGAATCCACAATTCCTAATTTAACCAGCATGCTTTTTTTCCTTCCAGAATATCTCAATTATATATAGTATTAGGTGGTCTATAGTATTTGTGAAACATCCTCCTTATAGTGCAGGGTGGTGACTACAAAACTCTACTGCTGCAGTCATTTTTGAGTGTGCTTGTTAGCTATTGCGGATGGTAAGGCAGACACCTCACAAAAACCATCTTCGTGGATGGAGTTTCTAATCTACAACACGAGGTTCTCACGAGGTGTTTTGAAGYGGATTGTGGTTCAGCCCGTTGCTTTTCCCAGTAAACACCAATGTTGTGATAATGTTCGTAAGACCTGATATGGTAATAGCAATATTGAGGAGGGAAACAATAAAGATACTATTAAATCCTGCATTTAAGGTTCATTTYTTGGCAGTAAAAAATGAGGCAGCAGATGAAGGCAGCACTTGCTCTGCTGCTGCCTCTGGTGTCCCCGGGTATCACTTCCTCCTGCCTTGCGTCTCTTCCAGCTTTTGCTTCCTGGTTCTTGCAGCCTGGCTGCGTTCGTGTATTTCACAACTGATTTCAAGAACGTGTTTCAGAAATACTTCATATATAGAATTTAGCATTTATAGAAAGCTGTCATCCTCTTGAGCAAATTTTAATCATTTTTGGTACAGTTGACCTTATGGACAAAGGAAATCTTATCAGACACTAGGAAAAAGGTGTTAAGAGACCAGAGACACATGGCCTCTGYGCCCATGGTGCAGAAGAGTCTGCGCAGGAAAAATTTACTCCTAATGAGCTGCTGTATGGAAGTTCTTGGGATCTAGGATAATGTATTAAGTTATTTTAAAATATCTCATGGTTTACCTGCAGTGTTTCAGTGCCAGTTACAGAAGCAGAGAGGCCTTGCTGTAAACCAAAAGCTTTGGGTAACCTCTGAACACAGCCTTGCTTGCTCAGTCTTACTGTCCACGGATGAAATAGGGGTGACTTAAGGTATCTGTGGAAAGAATATCGGAGTGGACAACTCAGGTTGCCCTTTAAAGTCCAGCTGTGTCGACACTGGAGTGCACATCTACAATTGCCAAGTGCGAGGAAGAAGCAGATAATGCTGCTCTGTGTTATCAGCCAAACCAATTCCAGGTATATGTATTTTTCCAGTCTCAGTGTAGATTAGTTGTTTTCTTACAGATGTTCACAAGGGCTGAAAACTGTTTAAAACAGATTTTTGTGATAACAGTATCTCTAGCAAACAGACCAGGCTTAATGAGTAGATACTTGAATTATACAGTTACTGTGTATTTAAATGCTCTGCACTGGAAGCATTGGGAGTTGCCACAGGTGAGAGTTAGAGCAGTCTGTGTTTTTTTTCTGCCTTGCCCTGAAAGTCAATACTGAATTACTGAGAGTAACRTTACGTAACGCTTGGTATTGTGCATTTCTGAATGCAGGTTTCAGCCTCATATCTGAAGCTGCAGTTTCAAGTCTTCCAAGCTGCTTGTCTCAATCTTAGGGTCTTTGAGAYGTTTTTTCTAAGGCTTCCTTCAAGTTGAAGAATGTCAAGTGAACTAGCAGCGTTTAAGAAACAGTACAAAAATAGTAAAGTAAAAGCTGAGCATATGCTGAGAAAGTTGATTAGCTGCGTTTCTTGACATCCTGCCCTTACAGTGACCCTGCCAATAATAATAAYAGTAATAAACAAACCTTGTTATTATCCTAGATTGCCCTTCTTGTACACAAACCTCACTGAATGGGTCCTGGTCACGTGTAGTATCAACTTAAAAAAAAAAACAAAAAAACCCCAATTAAGCAGTTTTCTAAGGTGCTGTAAAGATACCTTCTTTATCTCATGCTGTACAGTGAAGCTTTTTATGAAGATGGGAGGACAAACACTCCATGGTGGACAAGAAAAACTTTCCCGTCTAAGTTTCTTRGCAGTTTTTAGGAGCTTAGCTTTGACCTTATTGCCTTGTCGTCCTTTGGACGAAAATGGGCAAGTCCAGGCGCTTGCAACAGCTGGGATACAGTCGGTTCAAAGGGAAGTCTCTCCTGGGGACAGGTTGGTGGTGGATTAGTGGGATCTGAGCAAACAAAAGCCTAGATAAGCAAGAAACCTGCACACAAGGAAGCAGATTTTAGTCTCWTGCAACACTGAGTTTCCTTTGTTTTGCAGGGGTAGGTGAAGATCAAGTGCAAAATGTTGAAAGTTTKTTCCTGCCTGAGCTTGGGTCTCTGCTCCTCTGTTTTAGTATGAGGCTTAATATGTGGCTGCTGGATTGAGATTTTCCAAAAACGTTTCAAACTGTCGCTTTCTTTCAACTGAAAGGGCTTTAAAGAGAATTAGGAGACAGCTCTTTGGCTAAGTGGGCAATATTTTCATGATTTCCCATGCAAGCTGGACAATRTTCTCTCTGTAATAATATTGCCTTTAAGAAAAAGCACAAGGCATTGCACCCGTATCGTTTTGTAACAGATGATAGTTTGAGTATTTGCATGTTTGCAGGATGGTTACATATATAAATTACAGTGTAAATATTTGGTAATTGTATACTTGATATAGTTAAAATGCACTATAAYGTAAAGTAAAACACACGTATCTGTTTTTATATCTATAGAACTCCATTTTTGTGGGATTGACAGTCTGCAAAATATAAGGAGCTGAGATGCTACAAAGCCCCAGAAGGGCGTTCAGAAAAGCATATCTTGTGCAGTCCGCTCGAACGTGGACTGAAGGGCACGGTTAAAGGGGTTTCGTGGGAAGCACAGGGTGCCTGGCTGTTGCTTCGGGGTGTTTTCAGGGGCAGAGGAACAGGGGGAAACCCAGCAGTGGAAAAAAAGAACAGGGTTTTGGTACTTTTTGGTACTGCTCAACTTATGCACCTGTTTCGAATGGGAGAGGCTCAGGGAGCTGAGCCTTGTTGGGCAAATAATAGCACTTGGTGTTGCTTTGCAGTTCTCTTAAGCACTTCTGCAATTTTAAGGATTAAAATTAAATTTAAAATTAAACTCCATTTACAAGGTTGTTAAGTCTTAATGATTTATCACAGTAATAATGTGTGTCACCTTCATGCCTTGCCTTGCAGATCAGTGTTAGGTGCCATAGGAAAGGTTGGTGTCATTGACCCAGTGATTTATTGATTTCTGATGTATAAAACAAGCTTTTTCTGGTGAGGAACATGCAAAACGTCGTGCTGGCAGTTGGCAGATGGGAGCACGAGAGGGCAGTGTTGGCCTCCACTGAGACAGAATCATCCCAAGTAACCAAGGTCCTGTAACCTGCCCGCAGCGGCGCTCAGCTATAGGGAAATRCTGATTTCTTTGAGCAAGTACAGAGTTCCCTTTGGTTTCTTGCAGGTTTACCATGTCTGCACCGACAGCTACGAGACCCAAAACCAGCACTACGGAAGGAGCCTCACCAAGGAAACAGTAAAAGATGGTGAGGACACCCATGCACGACAATTGTGAATGCTCTGGGCTTTACTTATTTAGATGTTTATTTTAGATGGTTTCAAATTCCTTGTGTGTTTCTTATAGAAAGTTCCTTTCTTTTTTTGCAAGGTGAGTCTGTAACTGTTTCCTCTCTCATGTTAACCATAAAATAAAATAAACTTGCARCTCGCTATGTGGGACTTTTCCTCATCACGTTCTTTCCTGCTAATAGGAGAGAAGTAGGAGTTCTGGTGGAATTCATTTGCTTTATAGGTCTGATACTATGATGAAATGCAGGCCTTTTAGAGCTATTCAATCAATATTTTAGAGTAAGTAATGTGTATTTTATAAGGCTGCTATCAATATTCCCATCACTTAAATTAACCTTCTCAGTCAAAGTCTATCAACTTTGACTGTCCCATTATGGATGATAGTAACATACACAAATAATAAAGTACCCTAATAATAAAAACAAAATGGATGAAATGAGGAGCAGGGAGTATGTTTTTTTCTAGTGTTTCGTTACTTCTGTTTGCAATCTCTAACGTTATATAGTAGTTCTTTTGTGAAAAGCTAACTGGAAGTATCTGATTTCCTTACTGTGGTTGGAGTTATTTAACAGCTGTTTAAAAGGAAACTGTGAATGTTTTATTTCTTCAGTTCAGGAACAAGTCACAAAAGAAATGAAAAAACTTGCCCCGTCTCAAAATAATCCTGAAAATGTCCATTTCCTTCTCGCAGGCGTCTCCAAGTTCTTTCACAACGGGTACTGCCTAAGAAAAGATGCTGTCGCCGCCAGCATTCAGAAGATTGAGAAAATCCTGGAGTGGTTCGAGGGCCAGGAGCAGCTCAACTTCTACGCCAGCTCGTTGCTGTTTGTGTATGAGGGCTCGTGTCAGGCGACCACCGTGCGGCTGGGCGAAGTCACCCTGGCAGAGAAGAGAGTCATGCCCAGAGGGCTGTTAGGAGGAGACATACTGGAGTATAATAATAATATTCACGTAATAAATTCCACAGAGAATGGGAAAATAGAGGCCTCTGTAAGTAAAGGCTTGTCCAAATTTTATGCACTTCACAAAAAGGCGTATTCCAAGAGGCACCACCAYGGTCAGCTCTCACTCAAAGTCGAAAGCTTGGAGCAGGGCAACGTGTGGAAAAGCAGCACTTGCATTACCCAGGAGCATCTGAACGGGAACGTTCTACCCCAACTGGAAAAAGTTTTCTGCCGCGTGCCCGCGGAGATCAAGGAAAGCGCAAATGTGGAAGTCCGAATGATAGATTTTGCTCACGTGTTTCCTAGCGACACGAGGGATGAGGGCTACATTTATGGTCTGAAGAATTTAATCACAGTACTTCAAAATATTTTGGATAATTAAATTCTTTGTTAGGGTTTTTACTGGGGGCCAATGATAAAGAAGAGCAACAACATGAAGAATTTCTGCACTTGTAATGCTGTATAACTGGGTTTGTATTGTTCTACTCTATTTTATTTGTCTTTGTACTTTTGGTAGAAGGGTTTAACTTTTTATAATCTCACTCAGGAAAATAATCAATAGTTAATTAAGAAGTGTGAAAGGATGAAGATACTTGAGATGAAGCAGGATAGGTAAATTGGATGAAAAGTATATGGCTGGCTTAAATCCAAGGAGTACAGTTATACAATAAGCAAGGGTTGCGTTAGTTCCCCGTAACTACTTCAGCTTTGATAACGTTTGCCCGCTTAGCCCTGACACTGAGACCTAGCTCCCTGAGCAGGCTATTAGAAAACGGACTGAAAATGAGCTCAAGTGCAGGATTGATGTCCTCAGTGCTGCCCTCTCGTGTTTACTACGTTGGAATAACTGGAGTAACCCTACTTTTGAGACAGATCCCATTCAGCTTCAGCAGTCTAGCTTGGGAACCGGCATGACCTGAAGCACTTCTCAACATAACGGGATTATACTGCAATTCTGCTACAGCTGGTGGGTGCTTCCCCTTCCCGTGGTGGTCCGTAGCCAATGTTCACAGCAGACGAGCTACAATAATTTGTGCTGAGGTGCTAAGAAGATGCTGGACAAAAGCCTGTTACTTTAACAGGCTTAAACTGCACAAATGCTAGAGAACTTCTGTAGTTTGCAAGAAAAGAGTGTGTGTGTAAGGGGTGTGGAGAGGGGGGGAGTCAACTGCAAGGTATTTCAGAAGCTAATTTGGCTTGGGAGATGCAAATAGTCTATTAATGGGATGGCTGATGTGGTGAGTAAGGAAAATGCCTCAGTCCTCCTTTCTGTTGGTCCTTCTCCAAAAATAACTTACCTTTAAACAGGGGAAACAGAGCATTCTGAATGAGCACCCTGCGGTTTCCTTGAGCTGTTTGCTGCTTGTATTGCTGCAGCCAACATTTCAGTTGTTCCCTGGTGGGGAGCACCAGCTGGAAGCAATGAGCAAGCTGGGCAAAGGACCCTTTACTGAGGTCCACTTTGGCCCTGGAGCAACTAGACCTTCCTGCAGGGATACCCATGGAGCGAGGCTCTTTTCCCAGGGGCTAAAATTGGCTCATTTGGGTTTCTTGATGAATAGGCAAGATGTGGGTTTTGAAAATTGTCCTGCTGCCTCTTGTCCATGGCAAAATTACGGCTTTCCTTAGAGGATGTCTGAGATTGGGGTGTTGTATCCAAACCTTGTTTGCTGTGCCTCTCGTGTGTGCTGTGTTTGTGACAGTCCTCACTCGCTTGTATAGTCAGCGATATGAAAGTCACGGCAAGTTTTGGYCTGTAAACACCAAAACTTCAATGCTCTTGTTTTATGCAAGCCTCAAGTTGAGGGAAGAAAAAAAAAACCTCTGGAATGGATTTGATGGCTGGAAAAAAACAGCTTTTAAATGTGGACTTCATGTGATGTTGTGGCCTTGCTGCTCTGTTTGAYGTTCTGCACCGTGCGCTCATTTGTGTAGATGTCTTTGCAAGTTCTCAATTAGACGTTTTCTAGATCAGAAACAAACGTGTTTTTAAATCAAGCTGAGTGAAAGTTTAGCTCGATTCGAGATCCTAGGTTAATTGGGAAAAGCCGTGTTGTCTACACATGATGTTTACACCATAAGCGAATGTTGGATAATCCAGTCAAGAATCAAAACAATGTTTGCAAAATGCTAGCTTGGAAGCGTGGGGGGAGATGCTTGCAGTAGGGGCAATATCTTTTTGTTGAAAACTTTTCCCAATTATGATGAGGGGCAAAAKAGCAGGAAGATGAGGACTTTTCTCCACCTGGTATTTCTGTTGCAGTCATGCAGTTAATACCCACTATATTCCCAACTATCTGTGAACTAATTTAAGCCATATTCTACGAAGTGTGTGCGTGTGTGTGTGTGTGTTTGTTTTAACCCTGTTTTCCTTCTGGATTTTTTGTTTGTTTCTATTCTGTAAGCAGTCAACACTAGAGTACTCTAGGCTAAGACCAGCCTTGTAATTAAAAATTTGCAATGTTTTGTAGAAAATAGCAGAAAATATGTATGCATTTTGAGTTCTTGTCCTCCGTAATTCACCTCTTCTTGGATTTTAATCCATTTTGTGCCGGGAAAATTAGATATCTGCCTCAAAGAAGTCAGTTATTGGAAGGCGATCTGTATTCTCTTAGTATAAGTGCATTCTCCTGTCTCTGCTTTAAGATATAAATGTCTTCAGTGTTTGAGTGCTCTTTAAGTATTGATTGTTGTGTTAACTATGGCAGTGTTTGTAATGCATCTGGAATATTGTTAAATTGTCAGAATATTTTGAATAAAAAATAAAATAATTTTATCAGCTTTTTTACCGGTAGTTACTATGGATGTATTTCTATTGAAATAACGTGTAGCTTGAGAGATAACAGTATTTTTAATAGGAAGTTGTGTAATTAAAGCTTCTTGTAGAGGTGTTTTGGCATAGTACCGACTGACAGATGCCTGCAAAGGTCTTACACTTGCACTGTCCTTGTGCATCTTTTTAGTGTCTTGCACTTGAAAAGATGAATTTTTCASTTGTAGCTGGAGATATATTCAGAGCAATCGCCAGCTCTGTGACAGAACTGAGTAGAAAACAAAACGGCAGATGCTGGTTGCTGGGCTTGTGCAGTACCATGGGTTCTTCTCATCTGCCATTAATGCCTTTGAAAAATTACTGGTATTTTTCCTTCTCTCTCTGTATTCTGTAGGAAACACCCAGTATAAGTGATAGGTACTGGGACATCTTCACACAAATAACAGGTATTTCTGCCCAATAAAAGAGGTCCCKTCCCTGGGCCGGAGTAACACCTGCTTGCTGTTATAGTTGAAGCCTGTGTGTCCTAATTTTGAGCAATAAGAACGTGATTTAGCAAAATCTGTTGTCAAAAGGGAGGATTCACAGCAGCAAGGCCATGTTTTTATTGTTTTTCTTGAGAATATAGTTTCTGCTGAAGACTTTAACTAGAGAACTGTGCAAACTGTGCGCAGGCTTCCCTAATGAGAGCTTGAACTGTATAAAGTTTTATAAAAAGCATTTACATATATGGTATTTTTGGATATTGGTGGAACTTGCCTAAATCACATTGGAACTTACTATGCTGTTCAGAAATGTTTAAAGTATTTTATCCGAATCACTTTATGAACTAAAATGGAGACTTCATCTCTGCGATTCTCATGAAACTCAGACTGTTTTCTGTTTTTTCTGCTGTGATACATAAAGTAGACTGTGCTTTTCCATTACCCTATAGTTTCATACAGAGTTTGTAAGGGTACACAGTAGATTAGGAAACTGTTTATTTTTAATTAGCAGAGTGCACACCTTACTGACACACTTAATCCCATGTGTGTTTTTAAGTCATGTTAGTGTGTTATACATCTAAAGCTCCACTAAAGGCTTCTTTACCTGCAAAGAGCTCCTGCTGGTTTGAGCCTGGATTGTGGTATGTAAAATTTGGCATTTTTATGTGTAGCAGCAGCAGCAAAGAAAAGGCAAAAGCCAACACTGGCTCATGAGCCAGTGATGCTGATAGGTAAAACATAAAAATCCCTGCAGCTTTCCCATTTCATGATGTGAAGTGCTACCAAGTGCAGGAAGGCAATGGGAGAATAGAGGCTCCATCCCTGTGTGCTGTGTTCAGTGAAGATTTGATTAGTTGTTCACTTTTCTTTAAGTCACTTTCCCTCCAGAGTGCCTTCTTCAGCCCTTGCTTTGATACCAGTGGTGACCTCCCATAGGTAGCAGCTAAGGCAGCGCCAGGGGATGATTTAAGGTGGAAATCTGATATATTTGTAAGAACTTCATGGTCAGTGACCACTCTGAAAGTGCAGGTGTGGAGAAAATGGTCAGAATGCCTCAGATAACGTGGGAGGTGCAGATTCTTTTTTTTTTTGCATCGTTTTTATCGTGACAAAAGGAAGAGCCATTTTAGTTTGGCCCTGTTTTGACTGGAGATTAGATCTTAGGTTTTATGAAGCTCGCTTAGGTGTGTTTTTAAAAGAGTACTTTGGGGGCAAGGCGAGTGGCAGCCAAACTGAGCATGCAGTGTCCCTCCTCCTTGTGCAACTGCAGTCGAGGTCTGGGGTTTAAGGAGGTGGCCCAGGAGGGAACAGTGGAAGYTGAGAAGGAGCCCTGAGGAGGACAGCTGCTCAGCGCTGCAGTGCAAGCAATTAGTGGAGGTCATTAGCGCAGGCCTTAAGCTTTCAAATACTTTGCAGTCAGGCTGATGCAGTTCACGCATATTTACTGAGTTAAAACCAGGATGTGGTSAGATCTTAGCTTAAAAATATACCCCACCTCATCCCCACAGGCCAAATCCTCCACATTTGTTCAGGGCCATCTGTAAGGAAAAASYGCAGAACGCTGCCATCCAAGGGACAACTGTAACAACTCCAGCTGTGCTGGAAAGGAGGAGAAAAAAAGTGAAGAATTATATAGCAGAAAACATGTTTCAGGAAATGTTTTTACTGTGGCTTTGTGGAGATGGGCCCTGGGTATTTGGAGCTGGACTTCTGTTTGCTTTATCATCTTTAATGGAAGATGCTTGTGCAGGATGATGGTAAATGGGAACACAAGTAGTTTAAAAACACCTCAGCTTGAAGTGTGTGCATTGGTTGAACTAGCTGTTAAAAGAGCCACACAAAACCTAGTGATCTCTGAAGTGACCTCTAGATGTGTATTGCACCTGACTCTAAATGAAACTAGAGTGCACAAAGGCACTTTAATACTCTGGGAACCCCACTGGAAGATGAAGCACGTGAAATTGCACCTAATGTTGTGTTGTTAATTGTTTTCTAGAACCTAAAATTGTGCATTTGTTATGCTTGATGGGTGAATGTATCTAGTCTGGTCTCAGTTTCTTTGGTTCAAGTGTCTGAAGCTGTCCCTCAGTACCCTCTAATTGTGTTTGACTGTAACTTCATTTTGTTGTTCATTTTTTGTTTTTATTTGCCATTATTGGACTGCCAGGGGTGTTGTTAATACATTACAAGTGTTTATTTTACAGAACACTGTACTATGCTATCTACCAACTTTTGTAATTTAATTATAAGTGATACTTAGGTTAACTCTAATAGCTGTATATTTGGCAAATCATTAAAATTTTCTGCAAGTGATTTGCAAGTATAACTGGTTTCTTTCTAACACAGGGAGATATCGTGGTGCAGAACGGTGTGCACCTTGGGGCTGCCAGTTTTGCTTTACCATCGTGTTCTTCCGATGACCTCCATGCTCTTGTTTTTGGTAACACCTCCTTCTCGTGGAAACACGAGTCACCTCTAGCTTAACAACAAAGCACAGACCAGCTCATTCTGTGTCCCTAGTGCTTTTCTGAGTGGCAGGAGGACTGGAGGGGACAAACCCAAATAAAGTTAAGTTTAAAAATAAATGAATGGGAGAGCTACGACTTTCACTTGCAAGACCTACAGCAATTTTATCAGCAGACTGGTGTCACAGCTCTAATTACATGGGAGCAGTTGATGCCAGTTAATTTTGTTTTCCAACTAAGGGATATTTCCCCAAAATGCCTGCTGGATATTTTGGAGCATAGAATGCAGCAGTCTTTGTGTGGAACCTCTGGGGGAACTGATGAACTTGTTTATGCAGGAGGCTGCTGCTTCATTTCTCTCTCCCTAAAAAGGGAAAAAGAATCTTTTCATCAGGCCCTGGGCACATTATTCAACAAGCTTTTGCTGGAGTAATATGGCTCTTTATCTCTGAAAGGTCATTGTTCCCCAGATGTTAACGAAGTATAAAGAAACATCTCTAGGACTTGGGGGTCTTTATAGAAACTCAGGTTGGAGAACAGTGAACAGTGCAAGCAGCCTGCTGTGCATTATAATGCTGTGCATCATAAACCATTTTGCATCCCCAATTAGTTTGCTTATTTTGAACTCTATGGATTGAACAAGCCTGTGGGGACAGTGCTGCAGTTTCACTGTGRGGCTGCTGGATTTTTCTTTGCATTTTTATTTATTTTGTATATGAAAAATTACTTAAATGTGTTGATAAGCTTTATTTTCCTGTGAAGGAAAGCTGTGCAGACCCGCATGCTTCAGAGCTGGGGAAATGAGGATAAAGCTGGGGAGAGGCTAGATCCATGCRAGCAGCAGAGCTTTGTAATGCCTGGGGCTTTTCCCTCATTTTTTTGCTATAAAAAGCCAAATATCCTTGAAGAATGTGCCAACATTTCCAGCGCATTTTGAAGTGAAGGAGGAGTTGCATAAGTTAGCTTGAAATGCTCCTTGTTCCATTAAAATATTGAGGACATCACTTACCCAAACATCACAGCCTGGCTCGCTCTGGGGATGGACACGTCCCTCTCTGGGGCTGTGAAAGCTGAGAAAGGTGATAGAAAATCATTACACAGGCTTAACTTTAGCATCAAACAATTCTCTTCATCTCCTGTTGCTGCTCTGCTGTCCTGACTTAGACTTTTTACCTTGCTTGGCATCCCCAAATGATGGCTCCCGCTAAGTGTAATTTATCTCTGATGAGGTTACCCTCAGAATTAGAGGATAAACATGATTTCCAATAGGAATTATGAAAGAGCAGCAGTGAATACACATCCTACTTCCATAATCACCAAGCTTATTTTGTCTCTGGGMTAAACAAATAATTTAACCTCTGTGTCCTGCAGCACGTCTGAGCGCTGCAGCGGCCCTGGCCTGTGCTTTGCCTGCTGAAGCAGAGGGACAAATGGTCCTTCTGTTTCCCCACAGCTACATAAGCCTTGCAATGGGGCTCGCAATAAAAGCTTGATTTGGTCAGCAAATTCCGTAGGTGGAAATGGAGCCCATAGGTGGGAAGGTGGATACTGTGCTGAAGTACTTTTTTTTCTTAATTTTGCAAAAATAAGAAAGCCAGAAACAAACCAGGAACAACTATATGTAAAAAAGAAGCAAAACAAATAAGGAAAAACCTCTGCAGCTTTGGACTTTAGCTGGCTTAAACCTTTGCTTCTCAAATACTTTTTGCGCACTCCCTGCTCTTCAGCTAGTTCTGTCCTTCTCCACCTCATGCTCCTCTTAGATCCTGGTTTCCGTACAAAAGGATGGGCTCACCTGTTTGTTACTGCTCCAGAGTGGAAGTTTGGGAGTGTGATAAATGAAAGCAACGCTCCCATAGCCGGAGAACCGCACGCAGAGCTCGAAGACCAGCGGAATGCTGAGCTGGAACAGTCCCATGTTCCAAATTGGCCACTGGCTCCATCATATTTATTTTAACCTGTAAAATGCAAGCTGATGCTCCGGATCGTAGCAATTAAACAAGAAACCTTGCTTGGTAAAAAAGAGCAATGATGGCCTTGTGACACTAGTTGARGCCTTGTGGCCTTAGCTGTCCTACTTTCTTCTCTTTTAAATACGACTGAGTAAATTTCAGTTACTAAAATCATAGTTTTCAGATAAAGAAGGACAGAGATATGTTGTAATTCCTTTTATTGCTGAACTGTTTAGTTTTGATGCTCTGCATGTGTCAATAAAATGGAAAAGAGCAATCCAGACATCAAAGCAGCATTTATGGGCTGCCTGGGTCAACAGATGTGTTTTTATGGGTTTGTAATTATCACTGCAAATTAGGGCAGTGCATTGCATTATGTAGACGAGCAGTTTGCACCAGGGCTTGTTTGCTTTTCTGTGGTGTTAAATCATACCAAAACTGTAGCCCAAACACGCAGTCTTTTCCTTAAATTACAGTTATTGGTACAGCTTGATGCAAAACGTGTAACCATTTTTTTTCAGGCTAGCTAAAGCCTGAAAAAAAATCTCATTTGGTTCTTCCTAATGTAAAAGCAGCCACAACGCATAGCAAAGTGGCCAGTGGGAACCTCTGAATCCAAAAATCCTGCTTTTCCAAAGTTTCTTTCTTCTCCAAACGTTTCACTTTTATGTGGAGAAAAACCTAAAACTTCGCAAGTTGGGGCCCTGCTATAGGGACTTCATGGTCCCTGTGCCCTCTGTCCTTACCGATGGTGTCTGCGGTTTTCCCATGGGAAGCTGAGCCTCAGCTTTGAGCGGGACCGGTTCAGGAGGAAGAGTTGGGAAATTTGTGGGGTTTAAGCTATTTACCTGCAAACCCTTCTGATTAAAAATAGATTTAAGAGGGTTTGTGCAGTCTATCACGCTGGTTTCTCCAAGCCTTAGTAGGGCAATGTTTCAGAGTGGAGAGTTTTGGATAAAACTTCCTACAGCAGCATCTGAGATCCTGTAATGAGAGATGTAAGAGACAGAGGGTGCATTAAACCTGACCAAGGTGGGATCGCTCTTCCACGGACCTCGGGCTCATAAACATCTCTCAGCACAACCACACTATAATGGGATTATTTCGAAGGCGCAGAAAAGTAAAGGAGCTCCTATATCAGTGAAGCTGTGGTAATTAGTGCTAGGATTAATTATTAATCACTGTTAATAAGCAGCAGCACTGCCCCAAGGAAAGCTGTTGCACACGCTCATTGCTGTGTGATGCCAAGAAATACTGACCCATTTTCTTAAAGAAAACACATGTATTTTTTAAAGATGGAGGTTTGCGAACCCCTCAGCTGCATGTTTTCAGTTGGGAGGTGTTTTTAATTTTTATTTATTTGCATTATTATGTATTTTACATCACGAGCAAATGCAACTTGCTGCTGGCTGATGGAGGCYATTTTGGTTTATTTTATTTTATTTTACTTCCTGACAAGTGCAGTTCACTCCTTGGAGAAGGCCTAAAGGAGCCAGTGTAAAGCCTCAAGGATTAAACATATATACTCAAACAGAACAGCAAATAAAGCGAGTAAAGGAGCGATAAAGAAGGGAAATGCAGCACAAGAGGCTGTAAGTGAATGTGGGGTTTTGGTTCTGGTTTAAATCCATGTGAGAAGAGGCTGCTGCAACTGCTGAGGTAACTTGTGTGGAAAAAAATGTGTGAAAAGAAGTTGGAAAATGGCTGGAAAAAGGGCAGATGGGCAAAAGGTCTGAATCTACCACTTAAGTGCATAAAATCTCTCTTTTTTTTTTTTTTTAATTTAATATAATCTTCCAGAGTGTGGGAGCTTATTAGCAGCCTGCGTGTGAAGATGGTTTGCTAAGAAAGTTCTTTTTCCCAGTTCTTTTTGAGGGGACACAACCTCATTCCCCTCCAGGGTGCATCAGTGAGGGCATTTTCCCCATCCCATGGAAGGAATATTTCACCTTACCTGGAGCTTCATCTTGGAGGAAAGKCCCTGGGCTGTGTTTGGAGAGATCCCGCTTCCCACATGGAGAAATTTCTGTGGAAAAAACTACAGTTTTAGCTGCTGGAGGAGGATCCGCCTCGCGGGAGGAGGTGGCAGAGGGCGAGCCGAGCTTTCCTAGGGCGAAAACGTGGAAAAGCTTCGAAAACACGCGTTAAGAAACAGCATATCCCATGAGGGAGCGGGTGACGGGGTTGTGACCCGAAATGGGAGGGTTTTGGGGGAGGAAAATCCCGCCCATCGTTGGACGCGCGGGAAGAGGTCGCGCTTTTCCTGTGGTAATTTATTTTTATTTTTAATGTTTTTAAACCGAAAAAGAGCCCCCAGGCAACAGCTCGCTACGGTTGTTGTGTATAGTAATGTAAAACTTTTAAAAAGTTTTATTTTATTTTATTATTTTATTTTATTTTATTTTATTTTTAATGGGGGCGCTAGGAGTCGGCAGCGGCGTCGGGGCTGTGAGGGACTACCTCAAATATTTTTATGTCTTTATTTTTCCGTTTTTGACCGCGTTTTGGTGCTGCGACATGCAGCAGAGCGACGCTAGGTGTCAGCAGCGCCGCGCGAATGGCGGCGTTTCCAAAGCGGCTCCATCGCCACTAAAAACCCTTTCTAGTTATAATAATTCATATTTTTATCACTATTTTTGTTTTATTTTAGCTGCCGTGGCCGGCCAGCTGCCTCTTGCTTCTCTTTCCTGTCAGGTATCTGTGGCATTGGCATCAAAATCCTTCAAAGTGAGCAGTTGCAGTCGAAGATGTTTCTGGAAGATTCCTCCATAGGGGAGCCCTGTGGTAAATATTCATCGTGTAGCCCCAATTTATGACTTATTTCTCGTTCACCAAGAGGCTTGAGGCTTCTTTGGGTAAACTTTTCCAAGGGCAGAAATGCCTCCCCCAATTAGGATGCAAAGTGTCTGCAGGAGCCCCTTAACAACCCCTTCACTTAACTAAATTTAGCAATTTAAGTGCATATAGAAACGTTTGGAGGAACTTGATTGCCAAGGAGTGAGACCGTTTCTGGGGACAGAACCTCCATGGCTCCATTCTGGGCTTACCCAGGTGCGTTTTAGTGTGTTTTTAATTTAATTTCAAACTACTCACAGGCATCAATTAAAATCACAAAAATGCCATCCTCCTCTGCCATGAGGAGTGGTAAGTGTAAATGTGGCTTAACAGAGTAACAATGATAAGTAGAGGAATAATGTGGGAGRAAAAAAAAAGTTTTTTTTTCTTTTCTCAAGAAAATTCTTCAGTTAGATTTCTCAAGCTTGACGCAGGCCATGCTGTTGTAATACCTGGGAGTACTGAGAAGAGGATAGCAGGCAAGAGAGAAGAGTTTTTATTTTATTTTTTAAACTTTTTACTTCCATGTTCTTCCTCAGTCAGTTCAGCAGGGGGGCAAAATCAGTGTGTTTTCTTGGTCCATGACATCGTTTTTAGTGTGTTGGACTCCACTTGTGTTAAGGAAACAGAGGCAAATAACGATGATTGGATTTATCCTTGCCAAAAAAAAAAAAAAAAAAAGGCACTTTCAGTTAATAAGAATAGGAGAAAATGTTATTGTTAACAGATAATGATATTGGCATTAAAGGCTTATGAAGTAAAGCATGTATTGCAGATAGGAAGGAGATATCATTTACTTGAGTTAATCTGTGCAAACAGCTTTATAATTAGGAGCCTTGCAAAATTTTATCTTACAGTAAGTGATTCTGTTTGCTATGTGGGCATGAGATGCTTGATACTAATAAAATTGGGGTTTAAAAATGTAGCTATATGAGTGAAGGATCTAATGTACTTGAAAGTGTTTTTAGTGTGACTAGCTTCATACTTTTTTTTTTCCCCCACATATCTCCCCTTATATTAAAGAGCAAATCCGAGTTGATTCTTTAAATTGAGAAGCTAAAGTGGCAAGATGCTGTATTTTTTTTCCTTAAATGGTTCCCTGAAGGCTTAGCCTCATCCTGTTCTCCAAAAGAGGATTATGAATATTAAAGTGTGAAGTTCTCCCATTTCAAATCTCCAAATGAATTGTGGTTAGTTGTAGCTTACTCTCCCTCGAACCTTAGGTCTTGCGTATGACCATTCTTAAAYTCTTATTCTCAAATCTATAGAAATTTGTAGGGCTTTTAAGGGGGAACCTACTAGGCTTCATCTGTAATTGCACAAAATAAAAAGTTTATATTAATTTTTCTAACTTTGTCACAGGCTTTTCCCACTGATTTAAGTGGCAACTTTCAAGTGAGATTGTGGTTAAAATAGAGACAAAGCAGTTGTGTCCAAGGCAGGAGGCGACTGTCCTCTGTGGAAATGGAGTGGGCTGGGGAGAAGAGGAGGCTTTTGTGCAGTCGGAATTGCGCTCGTTTTGAAACGAAGGGTGGAAAAAGGTTAATTATATATAGGCTGGAATAAAGGAGAACACAGAAACAAATAAATAAATTCTGTGAAAAGGACATGCAGTCCTGAGAGGGCTTTGATTGACTGCGTGAGGAGCTGGGCGCTGATAAGAGCGCTCGGACGCGACTCGGGAGAGATGTTTTCCTTTGTCCCCGCTTGTGCCACTGCCCTCAGCGCCCCTTGGGTTTTATTTCTCTTTCATCTGCTGCCTCGTTTATGTAGCCTGTGTTTCTGGGCATCTGGGCCGGCCTGCTGGCGGTTGGGCGTTTGTCCAAAACCTTGGCTTGTGGCTGCAGATACTTTTGTTGTGGAAATAAAAAATCTTAAAATGCAGAGGGAAATGGTGGTGGTTGGGATGTGGGTCGTGCTCTTCGGTGCTGGTCTCAATAAGCTGGCAGTGATGGTCTCTTTTTAAAAGAATTGCATAACGTGATTTTTTTTTCTTTCAAAAAAACTAAAAGGATGTGTGTATAAAAGATAGCAGCAATAAAAATATAGTTTCAGGCCTACTAATTGCTAGATACGGTTGAGCAAAGTGGGGAACCTTTGCTAGACTCAAGCCTCCCAGTAGTGCTGCACTGTCAGAACTAAACCTGGAGATTTTTGCGTTATAGACTAAAAAAGAAGGTAGCTGCCACATCAGAAGCCTCTTTGCAAAGAAGAGAATGGAAGAGGTTCTAAAAGCTGCCTTGTAATTCAAACAGAAAATGTAGTCACCTGTGSGTGAGGAGCTGAGTAAGCTTTTGTGTTGGTGAGAGAAGAAACYGGGAACCTCTGAGCTCCCTGGGGCAGGATGTTATAATGGGAAAGAAAAATGCTTTTTATTTATTTGTTTACTTCTAAAAGACTTGCAGGAGACACCTCTCATATTTGGGGAGTTAGGAGAGGGKCCTGCCTTCCTCTGCTGCTTTATTGCACCTCTTGGCCCCCTTTCAGCCAAAAGGGACAGTTCTGATAGGCCTCTTGAGCATTTTTTCCCCCTGGAGAAGTCTTTGGGATGGGTTGGAATTGTTTATTATTATTTTTTTCCCCCTGAGAAAAAAAAAATCTCAATTTGAATTTGAAACAGGCCCTAGAAGACTTTCAGCCTAAAGAAAACAAAATTCAAGCTAGGCGTATGTTGAGTACAGAATGGTGTGGAAGGGAATTGGGTTTTTAGTGGTAGGAATTTGGAATTAGTGTGTTGCCCACAAATGGTGTCCTCGAGGCATGTTTGTCCTGAATATTTACCAGGTTGCTTTGCAGAGTTGTCTGCAGTTGTTAAACTAAAAACTGAGGGGAATTAATCAGGTTGTAACACAATCTGGAATAAATTTACCAGAAGTTTCTGCATTATTTCGGTACAACTTTTGCAACCTGCTGTCGTGGTAGGACAGATACCTATTTCCCTTGGTTAACCAAGGCAGCCAAATTAATATTGCAGCTCTGGGCGAGCTGCACGAATCCGTTGCTGCTTTTTGTGGTAATGCAGGAACCTATTTGCACAAAGTGCAGCGACATATTTCACTCCAAAACTGCAGCGTGGCTCCTTGGAGAAAGGCAAAACCGGTGCTCCCTCCCCTGGAGTTTGTTATAAATCCTCTGTCTTTCCACAGCAGCGCCCAGGGTCTGGGAGCTCCTGCTGAGCAGCACTGCACCAGGCAAGTGTCTTGATGGGGGACGTTGCAGCGCAGCCGAGGCCTGGCACACACAGTAGGTTGTTCCGTTTGTGCCTGAATGGATCTCCCTTTGCTTCCAGGGATTTCTTCCCATTGGTGAAGAAGATGTTTGTAAGTCAAGTACTTTTTTGCAGGTGGCCAAACAGTTTTTTCAAATATGTAGATGGAGCTCATTGAGGCTGCCTCCTAGGCATGAATGCTTCAGGGGGGGTTGTATTGTATGCAGAGCCAAGGTTTTTATTGATCTAAGAGCTCTTTAGGTATTGAAAATCCCTAAATCCCAACAGGTAAATCCTGGTGTTCCTGCGGACTTACAGCTGCTGTTTATAGAAACTCCTTCAGAATACTAATGTTGGGCTAGATCTGTCCCAGGAAAAAATCAGGGCGAAAAACCTGTTACTGTTGGAATGAAATGAAGAGGGTGAATATGAGCTTCAGAGGAAGGTTTGACCACAGCGGCATCATCTGTTGTTCTGGGCAGGTAAATACCAGGTGAATATCAGGTATCCCCTCCCTCCAGAGAAAGATTTTCCTTTTCTGGATGCTGTCAGAGTTACATCTGTGCAATGGATGARCAGGCCCAAGAACTGGACTGTTTTGGGGCCTGAGCCTCCTGGGATGCCTGGGATGTGTTTCCTGTTACGCACAGGAGCTGGTAGAGCTTATAGCTGGAAGTGGAGTAGCTATAATGAAGTATTTACAGGAAGGAACTGGTCTGGAGTTTGSATTGGTACTGCTGTTTAGGTAATTCCGTGTGCATGGCAAACACCTTGCTGGAATCTTAAATAATCTGGAGTGCTGCTTTTCACAAAATACAAGGGCTGGTAGGGAGTTCAA